TGCGGGATCTCCGAGGGACACTCGTGGATCATTTATGCGCTCCGATCAGATTTGCTAACATCGGTTCTCAACGCGGCTACCTACAGTGAACCAGAACCTAATCTTGCAGTCCATATTGAAAATCTCTTTGACTAAATACTTGCGTATGCGCTCTATCCACCCGTTCTCCGCCGGCTAGCACAAAGGATTGATGATAATCTAGTCGTATCCACGAGAATAGCGAACGCAGGGATTCGGTCTCACTGGGTGCGTCTTGTGGAACGAGTCCATCGGCTTCAGTCAATTTATACCGAGTTTCACCCTCTCAGGCGCTACATTCCGCCATGCGATTATCACAGGGTATTCATTTGTCGTCATTTGGGGTTCGAAGAGTTATCTGACTTGGAAGTTCAACGTTGACAGTATTCAACCCAACGAGGATCCAAGCCGATGAAACGTTGCACTGGTTGTAAATTGGTTTTATACTGCTCCAAGATTTGCCAACAAAAGGACTGGAACAATCATCGGAACAATTGTCAGTTGTATCGCCCGGATGAGTCGATACTACCTGTATTTCCTTTGATCAACCTACGATCATTCGTTTTAGAGCGTCATCCGCTCTCCTCAGCTTACACATATGAGTTTCTCAATTATCTTGGGGAAAAGGAACTCATATCTCATCGCCAATCTATCCTCAGGAAGCGAGACGAGTATCTTGCGCCACTCATCCTAATCGTGGGACTCTCCTTCTTTTTAAGAACTATATGCAAGGAATTCTGCCAGCAATCTCAATTCTGTCAAACAATAGTGTCCATGATTGCATGAATGATACATTGCTGGTACACGTTCCTCTCCTCATGCCTAGTCTCAATCTCATGAACGGTTTCAAATTTTGGATGATGCTCATATCGACAGAACTTTCAGGAGCGTTATTCAGTTGGATTGACGAGTTTGAGTCACGCAATGAATGAACACTCGTGTTTGTTTCTCATCAATTCGATGACTCATCACATTGGTCTGACTTAGAGAATTGTGACGTCTTCCAGCTCGGTTTCACCAAGTCCATTATGTACACAGAGACAGTTTTCTATACACGCTGTCGAAATTAGGACGTTTCAAGTTTTGTTCTGTACACTGTTTACCTTTAACCTCCTTTCTTTTCAAATTCCGTTATTTTTATCTGTTTCCATCTTATCGACACCCCTCAGTCGCGTTTTCATGTTTTTCCCCTCGCATGATGATCAAATTACAGTATTCAATGTACTTATGAAGTTCAAATACATGAACTCAAATTAGACTATCTTTGTTGAAGTTCCCTGTGTAGCAGCGCCAGAGAGGCACGAGGTGTAAACAAAGAGGATAGGTCAAAAGGCCGATAGCTTGTGGTCTCTACAAAAAAGTCACAGCCAGCATTGAAGTAATATCTGAATATAATCCCCTTCTATGAGAGATCCCTGTTGAACCTCTGACAATGTTAAGAATGATAGACATAAAGTATGTACAGGTATCTGATTTGGGGAGCAAAAGCGGATACAGGAGTAGTAGGATACATGCATTAAGGGGGAATCGAACCCCCGGCGGGTCGAAACCTACAGAAACCTATCGAAGAACAATATGGCAACGACCCAGGTTACCACTACCCCATTAATGCTTATAGTAAGTTGCTGTTGAATCTTTTCCACGTTGGCTCTGGAGAAGTTGCGCATTGGAAATCCCATATCGGAGCGAAACAGTAGGCTGTAGTGTAATAAGACAACATGCGCCTTAGTGAAATGAAAGACGAAGAATGGGGGACTGCGCTAGGCGTCTATGAGCGCATATGTTGAACGTTCCCAATGCCTGCAGTATATCGCAGTGCGTCTCGATGATGGCACAATGAAGAGGCAGAGTACACCGCATTTGGATCAAGGACAGGCGACGACAAAAGAAAGACCGAGGACAAGCAGAATGGCTACTTCTATAATTCACAGTCAATAGCTAAACAGCGTTAGAGACGAGACCTATTCGAAGCCTTCATGCTCATAACGATTCAGGGTTTGGGGCAATTTGAATGAACGCTGGAATTGCACGTGTGCCCATCTATTACAAGCTCGAAGGAAAAAGGACAATCGAAATTGGATTTCTCAAGTTCAATCCGCTTCACACAAAAACGTCCTGCAGCTGGCAGTAACGGCGACATGTCAGTCATTCGCGAACGGTCTGAGGGACGAATGGGCGAATCCTTTGGTCTTCAAAAGGCGGTGAGAAAACGTCAATATAAATGAAGTAGATATATGCGCACAATCCTCATCAAGACCACGTTTGACGGGGGGCGCATGGTACCTGTGCTGGTACTTGGGCCTGGACTTGTGCGGCCTATAGTGCAGCTTCCGGTGACCACGACCATGACTAGTTCCATCGCCTTGGAAGCTCTCAGCCAACAGATCGAGCAAAGCATATCTCAGCAAATACAACGCACCAGAGATCTCACGACGAGCAACAGGTCTTTCGGTATCAGCAGGGAGCCCTGGGTGACCGTGGCCTGGCTGTACGTAGTGCTTGAATCCGGAGGAGGCAGTCATGGCATTTGCTGGCGGGTCGCCTGTGGAGAGGATGATACGTCAGCGGTGGAAGGGAAGAACACAGACGGGGGTGCGTACCACCGCGCCCGTACTGCCCGGCGGCAACGAGATAGGGGAGGGCGAAAAAAGCGAGTGGGAGCGTAGGAGAGAATCTCATAGCTGGGGCGGTGAGGGCAAAAATTAAAGGTTGACACCAAGCTTAGCGCGTCTTGATGTTTATATAGATCTGAAAATAAAGTTCAGGTATTTATAGTCCACAACGTCATACAAAGTCACCATAGACGTTTGTCAGGAGCCTGCGGTTGACACGAGTCCGATTTTGACAAAGAACGCGTTCTCGCAGTGTACAGCTATGTCGTCGCATAATTAAAATGCTGGCAGCTTGCAAGAAGGAGAGCATATATCGTACCATCAATCATCAGTTTTTCATATTTTTCATCTTTTTTGCGCCACGAGGAAAGCGTATTTACACAACGACTCGAGACGAGAGATGTCGAGTTCGAAACTCGCGTAAGAATCTAAAGTACAAAGTTTGACTTATCAAGGGTTACATAATATATGATTTCTTTTTTCTCTTCACTGATTCTATATCCATTTATTCCTGTAATGAACTTCACGTGAGCCTCCTGTAACTTCTGCTCATAATAATATCATGATGATCGCAATTGCTAGTACGTAAAAATCGTTGATCTCCGTGTTTCCTGTCTCTACATGCGCGAAAAGTGGCTTATTACATGGTACGACTCCATCTTGGGACTTTGTCGACTGTGGTCATTATGGATAGTCTAGCAGTGTAGGTCGAGGAGAAGAGAAGAGAAGAGAAAAACGTAACGGGAATGGTCCCTGTACGGAGATTTCGGCTCAGTTACAGTTCGGGTAAAGTATATGCGGACTGACAATCAGGCAGTAGAAGGACGCTGAAGCTTCCGACAGAGGAGCACAAGATGCAAAGGAGCGTGAGCCGGCTTCTCTGACACGGTACTCGGTTCATCCTAATTGTGAGAGCAGTGCATGATAATCTGTGCTATTAGCATAAGTACTTTTTCGGGACGACGAGAAAAAGAGAACGCAAACGATGTAATGGACTAGCTGGCAAAGCGCTTCCCTCCTCATCCTTCCAATGCTCCGGTTGGTCCTGCATTCTTTAAATCATTCTCGTGGCTCCATTGCTGTTATATGTCAGGCTATCACACCAAGCGAGTCCCAATAGGCCTCTGAGTCTCTTTCACCCTCAAAGCAAGTGAATACATATGAGTAGGGCGTCGGTAACACTTGGTTACTTGCTTCTGATACTTCTGATAAGTCTAGCATCCGGCAACCGGCTTTTTCACACGACCGAACTTTGACAAGAACAAGTCTGTACTCTTGAGATAGACCGTTATTTAGTCTTATTGTCTCGGAAGCCCCTGAACTCTCGAATCCTGTTTCTATGCTAGTCTAAAGAAACTGTGCAGTATCCACCTTGCGTGGATGAATCCGCTAATCCTCCTTATGAATATCTAACTAGACGAAAATCCTATTGGGCCGATATGGATACGGCCCGGCTGTGGAGTCATGTGCGTAGTGTCTTCTTCCCCAAAGCTTCGCATCGATGTGTTATCCTCAATTGTTCCCCACCATCAGGCAGAAGTGATCTACCCTAGGCCTCTCGGATACGTGCCAGTACTTCCACTTCCAGCTTTCTGTCATGTCTGTTCATTCTGAAAATGATAACCTGGAGAAGGGAATAGAGTCTTCACACTCCCAGATCAACGTTGATGACCCCGACGCAGAGTTTGGTGGCACTGAAGCACGCCAAAAATTGGAACG